TTTTCATAATGTGTCTTGAATAATTTCCTATGTGTATTTGTAATTGTATTAATCGATTGATAATTTTGTATGAAATTGAAACATTTTTCTATTCATATATTTGTATATTAAAAAAAGCATGCATYAGAGACATGCATTTTTTCATATTCACTTGTGTTTAAATATAGAAAAACACATTTTCTAATGCATCGAGAATTCGGAATTTTTAAATGTCCATTTATTTGTCATTTAAATTCTTTTTTCTTTAAATTTCATTATTCATTAAATAATTTAAATTGAAAAGTTTTACATAATAAATAAAATTAAACTCTTATTCCTACGGAAAGAATACTATATCTAGTAATAAATCAATCTTCAAAGGTTCACAAAATATCAAAAACAGTAATGTCGTTTCTTGTTTAAGTAAATTTCCAATCGGACATACTTCACGCAGGACCAGAAAGAAATTTATTTTATTAAGTAGTTTGCGAAAAAAATTTTAAAACTTATAGCCGTTCAATCTTAATGATTTTTATATTAAATTAGGGTACACACTTCGCCTTACACGAACAACACCTTTTCAAGCTGAAAGTCTCGCGTTTTAAATACTTAAAATCCTATAAAATGAAATGCTGCAAAGGATTAATCTTTCACACATAGCTGTCATATCTTTGGAACGTTCTCGTCAATATTTTTTATAGTTACAGTGGTCAAATTTTTATAAAATTTATTTTAAATGATAGGACACTCTTTGCCCTACACGTACAATACTTTTTTAGGCTAGTAGTCTCGCGTTTTAAATACTTAAAATCCCATAAAATGAAATGCTGCAAAGTACATATATTTTACACATCCTCGAGCACAGGCTAAACTGTGTGTGAAAATCAAGTTTTCGCCGAAGAAACAGACAATTAGCTCAGTTTTCCTTTTTTTCACTGGACTTAAAAGATTTCAATGCGTTTTTGATAGCTCGTGTTTCTTACCTTCTCTGTTAGATAGCGCTCGGAATAATTTCTCCCCACTCTTATTAAAATATCTAAATACACATGAAAGTCCATAGAAATTAACCTCTTAGTGTGTAATAGTTCAGTAATTGATTTTCTGTACTTATTAATTAATAATAAAGTTATAAAATTTACATAATTTATTATTAAATATTATATTAAAGGTTAATATATATATATAATAGATTCCATTTGTGTTTGAATAGAAGAAGAAAGAAACAACGGTAGGAAAGAAAGGTTAGTTATTTATACTAACAATATATAACAATTATACTTGCAATTTTATCATAGAGATTTATTTATCATACATTATTCCACCACAATATTATCATTTGTTTATATATAAAATGAATATTTTGAAATAAATATTTGTTTTTGTTACATGGAACGCAATTATATTTGCATCATTTTAATATCCATTATTTGTATTATTATATTTTATAATGTCCTTAACTTATGGCAATTACTGATCACACTCCGACATATGTGCTGTGTTAAAAACATTCAATTAAATAAATAATAATATTCCATTTGAGAATTTTAGGTTGAAAATGTCTAGCACATCACAGAAACATAAAAATTTTGTGGCCGAGCCAATGGGAGAAAAACCAGTCACTGATTTAGCTGGAGTCGGCGAAGTTCTTGGAAGAAGATTGGAAGCGGCTGGTTTTGATAAAGTATGTTTATGCTGACAATACATTCTTTCAAATTTTATTTAAAAAGTTTTTCTATAATCATTCGCTTTGAACAAGACACATTGTACCAATTTTATTCTACTCTCTATAATACTTGTAATAAGTAATTTTAATTTTTATATAGCACAAAGTATTATACATAGAAAGTACGAAATGTTAACCTTTTACACTTGAAAGCTCAGGAGCGGAATCATTTTTATTTGAATACAAAGCATTTCTAGTTCATAATGTGACAATAAAAACAAATTATAATAACTTCATTTATGTTTTCAAAAAATTGCTAATTGAATCTTTCGTAAAAAAAACTTTTCGGTGCAAAGGGTTAATTGTATAAATATCAATGTTAAAACATTATATTTTATAGGCATACGTAGTACTTGGGCAATACTTAGTTTTGAAGAAAAATAAAGAGCTGTTTCAAGAGTGGATGAAAGATGCTTGTTCGGCTAATGTAAAACAATCGAACGACTGTTATCAGTGTCTTACAGATTGGTGCGAAGAATTCTTGTAAATTATTAAGATAATGAATGTTTTTAAAGTATTAATGTTATGTGAAAAGTACGTTAACATCGAAGAATATTTTCTAACTTAGCGTGTAGAATTCTTTTCACATATATTACAATGCTCTTTATATTTTTGCAAAAAATGAACAAAGGTTTTAAGGCGACTATTTTATACTTCGCACTTTTATTATTGACATTTAGAAAATATATAAATATATAAAAATATGATGAAAATATTTTTGTCAATTTGTCTAAGAAAAGAAAAAGATAGAAAGAAAAAGAAAAATATTTTTTTTAACTTGGCATATATATATATATAGAAATCCTGTCACGCGTATTATGTTCTTAAAATTTTTCCAAAATTAACAAAATCTTCAAGTCCCTATTTTACACTTCTCTATCTTATTATTGAAACTAAGGAAATATATACATATATATTTATAACAATATTTTTGCGTCAACTTATTTTAAAGGAGAGAGAGAGAGAAAGAGAGAGAGCGCAAGAGATCATAAAAATAATTTTTAATTTAAAACTAAGAAGTAAATAAAAACACACAAAGCTTTGCAATGATTCATTTTTAATCGTTCAATTGGAAGTATCACATACGATTAGAAATAATTGGAGATTATTAGAACGTTAAATTGAAATTATACAAAAACTATGCATAACAATACATTTTTATTTGAAATAAATATATATATATAACATTGCAAAGCGTTGCACATAGATAAGAGTTTACATTCATTTACAACATTTTTATCTTGATTATCACACATTAAATTAATTTAATTTAATAGTGAACAGGTAAAATATTTTTTAACTTTGGAGTTGGTAATATTTTTTCTTTCCTCATTCTGTTCCACAACTCTATTCCACTTAGATGATCATTCCTTGAAACTAGATAATATTTACTCGTTAGATGCGTTATAACAATTTTCAAAAGTCATATAATATATTTGTTCATATATATTTTTATCGTATTGTAACAAATGTAATTGTAATACTGACCGTAAATGAAGGCAAGACATTCGTACAAAATTAATCTGTTTACATTAGGATAGCCAACAGTAAAGTCAAGTAATTTCTCTAACATCATACTTCTGCATTTTGTAGAATAATATCGCGAAATATTTTCTATTACTGCTAAATTGTAATTGGATGTACAAAAGAGCTGTAAAAAAGGAACATAAATCAGATGATAAATAATATTACGCGTGATGTAAAAATACATTGAACTGTTTACTTGTATTAGCTTTTTAGCTTCCTCTTCAAAATTTTTCCTCAAAAAGCATAGTATTAATTCTCCTAAAATATATTCTTCCTCGTAAGTTTTAATAGCAATGTTTATAAAATCTTGTAATATCTCCGTGTCTTTTGCCAAGACAATTAATTTGATTAATGTTTTTAATGCAGGTATATGATTATATTTATTATTCAACATTTCAGCTATTTCCAAAGCTTTGCGTACATTGCCTCTATTAAATGGTAAAACAAAATGTAATTATACATATAACGCAAGTATAATAAATGTCATAATGTAGGAAGAACTTCCTTTTGCATGAGATTTTATCACAGAATAAGCGGAAAGACATATTTTTTTTTATAAACCAAAAAAATATTCTCTAATATAATAGAAATCACCACATAAGTTCAATGATATTAATTAATTAGATATTAATTTTATCAAATTCACAGAATAAATAAAAAAAAACTTTAACTATACTTCACATAGAGAATATATAAAATAAAACATACAAAGTTATTAAATACGTACTGATCAACATGAATCGTAATAAGCAAGTTTAAATAATTTGTTGATGGTGTGACATAATTTTGTTGTAGAAGTATGTCAACAAATCTGTGTAATACTGTATCATTGCCTATTAAAGCAACTTCATTTAATAATTTTTTAGTCTCTTTTGCTAACAAGGGACTATTAACTTTGATTATTTGACCGGTATACTTTATTAGTTCTGCTGCATCTATAAATCAATAATTGGAAATCATTTAAAATATTTGTACGTTTCAGAAATCATTTTTACTTTTGCATATTGTTATTTTCTATTGAAATAAAGAGGCTCTCCATAGTTTTCTTATGAATCACAAATGTACGAAAAAGAAAAATATAAAAGAACAAAAATGTAATATTTTTACACGCGAATACAAATCGTTTTGGGCATTTTAATTGAAGCGAATAAACTTCAAAAGATCGTACTTTTGTTTTTTTTTCTAATGTAAATCTGTAATTTTCTCTTTATAATTGTTTTTACTTGATTAAAAAGTATTTCAATGTTTCATTTAACAACCATCTTTTACATGAAAAAATTAAAAAATTTCAAAGCAACTAATAAAAAAAACTAGAAGAGGACATTAAATGTATAAAATTTCAAATGGAAAGAAAAAAAACAGCTTACCGTTTAAATCACCTACTGATATTAATTTTTTCGCATAATTTAAAGCTAATTTGGCCATAATACAAGTAGGATTTTTGATTATAAGTGTTTGCAAAATTTTTTTACTTTCTTCCCTCGAGTATTCATTAAACAATTTATTTATTATAGAGACATTTATTTGTTTTGACGTAGCGATATTCCAAGTTAATAATTGCTACAACATATCAATTGAATATTTTCATAATTTTATTAATTCTGTACCCACTTAACACAGTACTAATTTTTCTACGTATTATGATAGAATTATATTAATCATTTTAACAATGTTTTTAATATATAAAACACAAAATATATTATATAATACCAAAAAATTACTGAGTGGTAAAGTAGGATCAGAATAAGTAAGAGAATGCAATTATTCAGTTATCGAATTATTCGTTTCTATATTCATTTGCCGTATTTATCACCTCTTCCCAAGATACGTAATATTACTAATTAGATTTTTATATGCAGATAGATTCACAGAAGGATTCAAAAAACCAAGATACACATAAGATCAAATTGATCATTCGAATATTAATTAACACTAGTTTATTTTATATTTATAAAATATAAAATACTGCTTTATCTTAATTAGTAATTTTTCCAATTTTATTGAATTCGAGTGAATGAGTTTTTACCGAAGAGTTGTTGACCTCTCTTAAATTTTCTAATAGTACTGTTGTTTTATTTATTGAACCTGCCATTTGATATTCGGTTAAAATCTTATAAGTATTATCAGAGATACTTATTTCGTTTTTTGATATATATTGTAGTATCTGTAGATTAAAATAAAATATTAAAAATAATTTTTGCAAATGTGTTTAAATGTAAATGAAAAGAGATATATGTGCAGTTACATATATACCTTTGAAATACGCGTTGGATTATCTTTTAAGAAATTCATGATATCAAATATGTTTTCGTCTAAAGAAACTTTTTCTTTTGCCCCAGATGTAGTCTCTCTATAGAGAGTATTTGCGATTATCAAATAAGAATCAATATCACATGTATTAAATAACGACCATTTGAGTTTTGATTTCAATATGAAATCATCGTAATAACATGGATGCTGTATAACTGTACCAATAAAATGTATTAACCATTATATAACATTTAAGGTTGCATATTTTTATTTTTATATATATAATTATTATTTACTTACCATAGTCCGCACTGAGCTTTGTTTTAAAATATGATAACCAATAATAAACTACAGCATTCCTTGTTGTTTCTATCGGTATGTTGTATTCTGACAAAAAAAAAGCAGTACTCATGCTAGGAGTTAAAAGATTAGGTAAAATATAATCTGCAACAGTATTTATACAAGGGACAACTCCGTATACCTCTTTCATATCCTTCACATATTCTAAAAGACCTAATAGAAAAAATTCAATATTAGATTTAATGTAATTATAAAAAAAAATATAAAGAGTAAATAATTTATTTAGTACCTTTGATATCATGATTTTCTTGTAATTTAGTTAAAAAGGGCCAAAAATAATGTGGCCTAAGTTTATGCCCTTTACTTTTCCATTCTTTTAGTAAACTTGATACTAAGGCATCCTCATTTTGTTTGAAAGCATAATAAATCGCTTGATAAAATATTTTTTTGTTACCGTAACACGTATAAAATTGTTTACACGTTTCTACAATTTTTTCAATAGGCTAAGATAAAATATATTTTCTAATTAAATACGTAAATATATATATATGCTTCACACTCCAAATTCAACTTTCTGCAAATCAAATTCCAAAATTCTTATAAGCTTTGAGAACAATTTTATTTACCAAAGGTTGAATTTGATTCGAAAAAAGATAGAATTTAATATGCGAAACGCTAAATTTCGAGTGGAAAACTTTTAATATTATTTGCTTTCTTTGTCTTTAACATACCGCACCACTGTATATTAATTTATGTATAAAGAAATTTTCATATTGAATCTTCATTAATTTAAATTTAATATCAGAATAAAAATAATAAAATATTTTCATAGCTATGTTTTCTTGTTTGAGATCAATAATCTTTGCTAAAAATTCTAATGCCTCCATATGAAATGGTCTCTTTAATTTAACAAGCATCTGTAAATAGTTATTATTATTTAAAATGTGTATATATATATATATATTCTTTGCATAGCAATATTTTCAAATTATATCTTACCTCGTTGACATAATCTACATTTTTATTAGCTATTAAAGTATATATTACATCTAATAAATCTTCATTCGTAAACTTTATATTTTTCATTCGACATTTAAATAATACTTCTTCTATGCTTTCCGTATCATTATATGTAGCATAAGCACACATTAATGCACTATAAGTCTTATTCGTAGGAGTTAGATTAACTTTTTCCATAATTTGAAGAACATTTACCGCACTTGTTAGATCACTTAAAAGAAAAAATGTATTTAATATAAATATCATACAAACGTAGATGATAAAATTAATAATAACAATGAAAATATTCTACTAAAAAAAAGAAACAAAAAATGTTATAGTAAATATTCTAATGTTTAAAAGAAACGAGTAAATATAAATATGTTTACCGAGCTTGAGTATATCCTAGAATGAATGAATTAAATACATCTTCGGTTAACACATGCTTTTCATCCTTCATACATTGAAATACTGTCATCGCTCCAGACATATTACCCTTCATACAATAATACTTCAAAAGTTCTTTGTAAGTATTTTCATTCGGCTCGATAGATTGTTTTTTCATATCAGATAAAATGTCCAATGGAGAAAATTCATGTTTATTTTTCAAATAAATTTTTAACAGCGCATTATAATAAGACACATCCATTTGAACATCTTAAATTAATTAAAAAATGTTTACAAAATTATAAAGTTAAGAAAAATAAAAAAAGGATAAAGTAAAGGGATCAACTTACTATAAATACCAAATAATTTCCACAAGGTAGTCGCAAGATCAATTCTTTGCTCGGGTGTACATTGTATCAAAAGATTGCAGCTGCGCAGGACTGGTAGAGCCTGCGAAGAATCTATTTTTCCTGAAATGAAATATTATGTACTCCAACCATTACTACCAATAATTTTTTTGTTTAAATATTTGTAATAAAGTATCTTGCAAATAGTTTATACCAGGAATGGCAAATAAATGGCACATATGAAAAATATTTGATAGCATATGGAAAACTCATTTCAATAAAATGTTCAATAAAATTTCATAGAAAGCACAAGCTTATTCGATACAATTATAAATATGAGGTCTATAAGACTGAACGTAATCATTCATATTTACTATACTTATATTTACTATATTCATTTATTAATATATCTCGTACAGGAAAAAGATTATAATAAATTTCATCATATGTTTTGGCACACAGATCAAATCTCATTTGTCATCTCTGATTCATACGACATTAGCAAGTATTTTCCATATAAAATTTTATAGAAAATAATTTTACCTTCTATCTGCACGTATTGTATAATTTCATCAATCATATTTTTGTCAATTAATTTTCTATTCTGCAAGTTTTTATTCACTTTTTCGATTAGCGAATCTATACCCTGTTCTGAAGTTTGATAGCCATAAAAATCCGTCGGCATACTATTACAATAATTTAAAAATAAATATATTACGATTATATGTTAATAAATATATATCATATTAACTAAAAAGTTATTCATCAATTATAGCAAAAAAATGAACTAACCTTACTTTCATTTCTAGAACATTTGATACATTTGCTAAGCATAAAAATCTTTTATTACTTCCACCGATTTGAATTAATTTGGAGATATTTCTCAAATTTCTAATACATTTAATGGAATGAAAGAACAACGCCATAATTATATATTGAAATGCAATATAAAAAACGATAATTCACATAATCTCAGGTTAAGACAGTGCACGTGTTCTATATACGTTATTTCAACATGTTACTATTATAATGATCAGTGTTTTATTTTTTATTGAATTTGCAAATGCATTTAAAGTAATTATCTATTTTTTCAATGGTATAATCAACAAGAATAAACTTCTTTAATATTTCTTTTTTATACATTATATATTATTAGAATGACTTTATATTCACGTAGTTAACAATCAAACATAACGGACCAATCAAAATTCTTGGCGCCGAAGTAATACTCGTTTAAACTTTTTAAATATGCTCTTGAAAATTCAAGTAAGATAAATTATTATTAGTTAGAGGAAAGAATTCCTTTTTTTTTTCGACTTATATTTGACAATACATTTGTATAAATTATTGATAGACGTTTATTCAAAGATTACAAGATCGTACACATCCTCCTTTTAAAAGTAATTTTATTTACATATTTCTTTGGTACTTTTTCGTTACTAACGACCCATATACGGGTCCGTCCATGCAAAGGTCTCGTATGAACGACTGACCCATATAGGGGTCACATGCGACGAAACATATGTATGAGCAAATTTATATGGAATAATACTCATGGCAAAGCATACCGTAACGAAAGGGTTAATGACACGATAATAGGAATGTTCCATACATTTCTAGTTTGATTTGACGAATGACGCATGGCGTATATGAAAACGAAAATATTTAAACGTATTACATCGATTATTATACACATATCCATTAGAGTGCGTTTGTCTACAAGACGAGAGAATATTTTTATTATACAATTTTTAATATTAAAATTTTGAGAAGATAATATATTGTTAAATAATTCTTTCCTTTCCTCTCTCTCTCTCTCTCTCTCTCTCTCTCTCTCTCTCTCTCTCTTTCTCTCATTTTCTCTTTCTAACATTATTAATATATAATCATTGATAGGATAATATTTTCGTTAAGAATAATGTTTATGTACAATTAATTAAATAGGAACGTCATGCAAAAATTCAAGTTCAAGTATAAGTTGAAAATTTTATTTTTTTTTCGAACGAACATATACTAAAAATTTATCACACATTTCTATACACATACGATTAAGTATGAAAATAATTGATAAACAAGAAAAAGGAAATAGAGAAAATTATTGGGCAGTGTGAAATTACCCTAAAATTGGCATTAAAAATACAATAAAAAGGTATATTCGAGGCTGTAATTATGTGTGTAATTAGTAATTATTCTATTTATTTAAGCTTCCCATATACACATGGATTTAAATATATCGTCTCTAAGAGAACTCGTTTTTAGAAAATATTGAAACGTTTTATGAAGATGAATATATTGAGGATATTTGTAATTTTTTGTATTTGTTATTTTTAAGGCGACCAAACAATGTATACGGTTTATCACAACGAGTGGTTTGAAATGTAACTATTTCGTATCTATATCAAACGTGTTACAGATACAGGTATATGTATTTTATATTTACACCATCTGTTAAGATATATACTATCTATAGATGAAAAAATGTTCTACGTTTTATATGACTTATCCTGCATTAGTGGGTGTATTGTATCTATCCTATCGTTTAAAGTTGGTCAGTAAGTTCCACTATCGATCGAATAAATTCTATTGAATGACGTTCAAATTCGTAATTCGATTATATTTTACTTTTCTATAAAATAAAAAAATAACAAACAGATCTACGACGAAGAAAAAAAAGAAAAATCTATGAGGGTGGATTGAAAAGTTGTGAGCATCAAGAAAAAAAACACGTTTGATTTTGTAATACCAGTTAAATGGATAAAAAAAAATGTTAATACCAGTTAACTGTTTCTATGCTAGAGTCAAGATTTTTCAATTGACCCATATATAAGTGAATGTAGATATTAAGATTGAATGACATCTTGGAATTATTCTATTTTTCAATATTGCTGAAAAAGAAGTAATCATTTTCAGCGCGAAGGAACCACACGTTATATAATTAGCGTTAATCCTTTAGAAATCTTCTTTAATAAACCCTTTCAAATATATACCCCATTTATAATCTTAATCCTAGGATCGATTACGTTAGCAAATGGTGAAATGATGTATCCTCTAGATAATTGAAAGATTCAAAAAGAAAAGATTGGTAAGAAATTGTAAGGTATCTTACGTTACGTATGTTTATGCGTGTATGTTTTTACGATAAAATACATGAATTTCTTTTCGATTCAGCGCGTTCCCGTATTTGTTGCAAGTGTTGCAACTGCGCCGGCGAGGGTACGTGCGCGCTGCTACTGCGCGAATTCAAATGCGGGGGCGGTGGTAAAGATTGACGACGTCTTCTACGTAACGCTGGACTCAAGTTGTATTTCAATTTGGCCTGTAATAATAGTTCTTTAAATACTTGAGAAATATTTAAATTTTCTTTTGCAGATACTTGGACGAAACCATTTTCCCATTTGGATGTTACCAATTCTCGGGTACTCTCGCTGTCAACCTGTACAAATCCACGTAAACAACATAGTAAATCCCTAATTAATTAATTAATTATCTTTCTTATTACTTTTTTATTAGAATGAAGAAAATTAATTTTACCTCTTGCTCCTCTTCCACCAGATCCAATTTATTACCAACGACTACGATAGGTACCACTCCTTTTGTATTCAATATCAACGTCCTCAAGGTCTTTACTTCGTGAAACGTATTGACATCGTTCACATCGTAGACTAAGACAAACGCATCCGCCGATTTAATAGACAGATCTCTCATAGCTGGAAATTCGTAAGAGCCGGAAGTGTCCAAGATGTCGAGAGTTAAATGAATACCGGATACGTTAAAATCACCATGATGCATTTCCTCAACGGTGCGTTTATATTTTGGTGTGAAAGTACCGTAAAGAAATTGATTAATTATTGCCGATTTGCCGACCTTGGCAGCACCCATTACTACTATTTTATGTCTTACAGAACTTTCGGCTGATTTTCCATCGCCACCACCGCTATCCGATTCCGATAATCTTTCGTTTCTGGAATTAGAGAAACGAGCGTGTGTGTCCACGTGATTTATGCTTCATTAATTTCATTCAATTGAGGTCATTTATCTTATTTTCTTTTAAGATTCAGTTGAGTATTTCTAAATGGTAGTACATTAAAATCATCTTAAATAATATCTTGAAGAGAATCGTGCTAACGAATGTTAAAGATCTCTTTTAAGTACGAAGTGCGCTCTATTGAATGCGCGCATTGTACAAAAGCGTCCTGATTTCTCCGACGAAACCAGAATAGTGTGATTCGCCTTCAAATAGGGTGAAACATGGGTTGGAAAAGCGGAAGGAAGAGAGAGAGAGAGAGAGAGAGAGAGAGAGAGAGAGAGAGAGAGAGAAAGAAAGAAGGAAGATGGGTCCAAGGTTTTCACATGCACCAGATAACAGCTATCTCAATCGAAAATCTCATCGTCTTGGTAATAATCTATGCCAATTAGCGGGGAAAGATACAGAGACGCACACTTATTACGAGACAAAGAATAAAGACCCGGATAAAGTAGAATTGGGGTCCCACTTTTTCTTTCCCTCTCCCCCAAATTAAGATTCTCGCGTTATTACAAACGTTTCTTCCTTTTTTTCTATCTCAGAAGTTGTTGGCAAAGAAAAAAACGATGCACGACCGAGATAGGTGAAATGTAGTGGTTGAAAAGGTAGGAAAAATTATAGAAGGGATGGAATACCGTTAGGGATAGGTATAAATAACTTTACTGAACATATCATTTATTTTGTTCATATACACACAGGGTGAGATAAAAGTCGCTTTTCTTCAAATAATTCTGAACAAAAAATTCAAATTTTAGCATCGATCGTTAATTAATTTATTGATTTACGATAATCGATTTTTCGTATATTTTTATTCTACCATTTTCTTATTGCTTATTTATTTCTCCGCATTTGTTCGCATAACTTCACCAATCTATAATACATTGTTGAAATTGGTGTCCAAGTTCTCGAATGATTGTTTTATTATCAACTGAGTTGTCACTGATTCAAATCTTATAGTGTCTGATAAAAGCGAATTTGATCTCACCGTATATATTTGTGTTTTATCTATACCGGTATACGGGATCATATAAATCAAAAAATGTTACCAACCTAGCGTTCTTCGCCGTTCCATCTTCCTGTCCTTCCTTCAACGACGATGGTTGGAGACTAAATCGTCGTCGAAAGTGGTGTCGACCCTTCATCATTTGTGCCAAAAATTTTCTGAAATATCAAAATACGGGAATAAAAATGTTCGATTCATACGTACGCTTTTATATATTTGGTTTTTACATTTTTTAACATACAATATTATTTCTAGCAAATACGTATATATTATTTTATCGCGTCAGTTAACCATTATTTTATTTTTCATACAAACAAATTATATCTCCCGAAGCAAGCAAGCAAAAATTATTTATAAATAATATATGGGAATATATTTTTTGTTCGCCTTCGATGTACTTGCAATTTTATTTCTAAAAAAATATTTATACGTATATGCATGTGTGTATGTATATACATATATTTTGTTTGCGTCGGTTATCTATAATTTCTTTTTCTCTCAAAACAAATATTTCATAAAGCAACGGAATATGAAAAAAGAAATATCGGACTCGCACGCACAATTTTCTGTTTGTCTAGTTGCATATATATATATATATCATTCTTTATCTTCTTCTTCTTTTTCTTTCGCGTTTGTTAACCGTGATTTAGTTTGAGGGAAAATTGTTCTTAAAAAAGTATAGAAAAGCTCGGGGAATAAAGAAAGTAAATAGATATCCACCTTTAAAATAACTCTCTCTTTCTCTCACTTTGTGGCTAATGATATTTCCTTGAGAAACTTTATCGGATAAAAAAGAAAGAGTAAAAAGGACAAACAAAGGGAAATGAAATTAACGCGAACGATATCTATGCTTCTTATGTATAAATGAGCCCTTTTCGAACGGGGGAAGAAAAATATTAAAGGAAAGAAAAATGGTATAGAAAAATGGTATAGAAAAATGGTATAGAAAAATGGTAAAAATTGGAGAAACATAATTTTTTGTTTGTATGTTCAATGCTCACCGAAATGCTTTTCGCAATTTCATTTAATTTTAAATATTTTGAAAAACGATAATAATAATAATATTAATAATAATATTTGTTCATCGACTCACACGAATTGAACTCGGTTGCAGGAAAGAGGCTTTTTCTCGTACGATCGATAACAAAGAGTAACGCCATTTCCATCGAGATAACAGGTATACGAGAACAAGGATCAAGTACTACGTGAGATTAATCACGCTCGATAAGGACAACGCGATCGATTAAACCATCCGATAAATGCTATGCGACCGATTGAGTTGCGAGTTTCCTCCCTTCCTTCTTTTTTTCTTTTTTTCTTTTTCTTTCCTACCCTACTTTTATTTCGTTTGAAGAGTTTCACAGTAATATTAAATTATTTCATAAGTTTTTCCTTTTTTCTTTTAAATCAAACATAAACAATATGATCGAGAAAAAAATGTGTCGAAAGTATATTACAAGCGTTGAAAAAATCAACTTGAAGAGAGATACATAGACATGTAAATTGTAATTCCTTTTATGTAACTTCCTGATATAATCGATTAGTTGGACGTTAATTAAGTCGAATATCAAAACAGTCAGGTTAAATTAACTGACAATTGTTTCGGACACATTAAAAAGTCATTCTGGTACGATTTAATCGTTCCATTTAATAGGAACAAAAATTCTTATTCACGTCTAATAAGACACGATCTAAAATATGTGCTTGCTCGTTTGCTTAACTCGAAAACAAAAATGATCGAAAAAGAAAAAAGAAAAGATAGAAAGTTAGTTGGAAAGTACTGGAGTCATCACTTTCTGCGATCTTTCAACTTGACTCTTTCGAAGGAGTTGTTAAGAGGAAGAGGAAGAGGAAGAGGAAGAGGAAGAGGAGAGGAAGAGGAGAGGAAGAGGAGAGGAAGAGGAGAGGAAGAGGAGAGGAAGAAATAAAGAAAAAGATTGGGCGACGGGTCGACTACGCGACGCGACGACTACGCGACGCGACGCCAGGGGTTGCCTTGAAAATAAAATAAAAGAAGGTAGAAGCAAATGCATAACGCGGAAGGAAAAGTACCCCCCTCGTTGTTCACCCATTGGCGTTTCAGCATGTTGCCTATTTTGCTACATCCTTCTTCTCGGTTTTCTTCATCTTTCTTGTCGGTCGGATCCCATTGGTCCTTTGCCCATGTAAACGTAATCGAAAAACGAAAGTAAGTACTAGCAAAGAAAATGCCGACAGAACCATGGAGCCAAGAACGACAACGAAGACGAGAAATTTCTAAGAAAAAAACGTTTTCTTTCAAAGAGAGTTTTACCATGCTTCCTTGCTTCCTCCGGTCGTTGCTCCACTTAACGTGCACACGCGTCTTTACACTTATTCGCACAGACGGTAATTGCCGTTCGATACGTGACACCTTCGAGCTTTTACCTATTATTCGACCTACCCTATCATTCAAAAGAAATAAGAAAAAAAAAGGACAAGAAGTTGCATTTAATAGCGTAGATAGGATACCGTAGATAGGATACCGTAGAATAGGAACGATCATAAATTGTTATTCCTCTTTTTCTTTTGTGAATCTCATTTCGTTTCTTTCCTTTTTTTTTTAACGATGGAAATCAAGAAAACTTGCAACATGCTTCTTTACTTTACGGTCTATCGCACGTGATTTATCTCGCGCCTCGTTAAACAGATTCGAGAAGCGAAAAATGTATTCCAGCATCCTTTACCCAGGGCAAGTCGATTTAACGTCAAAGAGGATACGACGTTAAACCAGCAAAAGGTTATATAAAAGCGAACTCGAAATATTTCACACCTACGTATTCGATGTATAAATCATACAAGTGGTGCGAGGGATAGGATAGGACAAAGAAATGATGGGAAAGAAAAAAGGGATTAGAATGTGAATGAAGTAACTTACACGCGAGGAGGGTGGAGGGTGCATTAATATAAGAGAGAGAGAGGGTGGGAATATATAAAGATACCCCGAAAATAAATGTTTAGAGAAAAGATGAAAGAGATCGTTAGTCTCTTTTGGTAGTAAAAGGAAGAAAAAAAACATGTTTAAAAGATGGGGGCTGGGGGTTTGTTTAAATCCAGCTGAAACCATTTGGATTTATTCCAACCAGTCAAATTTGCAATGTGTTCTATGCATCGATGTATCCGTTCTCACGCTTCCAAGCAACGACTTGGCGCAGCAGAACTTGGCCAAGATAAAACGGGTCGACTATACCGCACACCGATCGTGTCTATGGGATTTCTTCTTTAGAAGGATCTATAGAGATCTATAGTCAATTTTATAGATCAAACGAGAATATAAGGTCGTTGCTCCTCGAGCACTTCTCGAAACTTCTCTACGAGTTTTTCCATGAAAAAGACACACGATTCTTTGTAGTTCTTTTTTCGGGAAGTAATCTAACGTGAGTTGGTATTTTCAAACTTTCTTTTAATGGAAAACCAATTTCTTTTTACTTCGAACTTTATGCATTTCTACGTTGCATCCAATTGTTATATTTGTTTCCCTTTATACGTAACACTACTATGTGTATGTGTGTGGTCGTGTAATAGTAGTAGTAAATGTAGGCGAGACCGATGTGGGGTAATGTCCTTTGGCGTAAACACGTTGGCAGGCAAAAGGGTATATTATCGAAAGAGGGGCTGAATGAGGATGAGAGGAATCGTTTGGTCACCTCTCCAATCCTCCTTCCGAATCCTCCTCCCCAATCCTCCTCCCCAATTCTCCTCCTTCTATAGATATTTAAACCACAATACTATAACGTACAACGAATACATCTTCGCAACTACCCACAATTCATCCGCAACAAATATCGAATTATATTTATATATGCGTGCGTACTCGGAATCATAAATTTTCAATATTATTAATGGATGCAACATGCAGATAGATATCTCTTTATTTTGAGAAAAGCATCGATGTCTCTCTTCTCTTTCTCTCTCCCTCTCCCTCCCTCTTCCACCCTCTTTGATGTTACGCGCACGTTGCAAAACATATATTTTTCTTTTATATTTTGTTCATTTTGAAGCATCATAAATCAACTTTATTTAAATCATTCCGATGAAAAATGACTAGTTTTGTTGGACACTTTTTTTTGTTTACTTCAAAATTGAAAATTTTTCAACGACAATTTATTTTTTACTCTTTAACACGAATACAAATGCAACATACGATTCTATTAAAAATAGCTGAAAAATCACAAATCTCTAAAAAAACGTATTTTCCATAATCCGGTTTTGTTTACCATTCGAATCATCATACTTCCTTTCGCATTTCCTTCTTGATGGAGCAAACGGATGCAAGGATGCGCGATGAGACACGCTGTCGTGGGATTTCAATTCCCATGCTTTCGTTTCTTTGTCCTTTTTTTCCCCAAACTTTTTACCATATCGAACAAAAAAAAAGAAGAAGACCCAAGATATACGCTTGGAGTCATGATTTTTCAACGATGATTCATTTATAGGAACGATGATTTTGAAAGCGCAACAAAATTTAACGGAAATCGCCATGCGGAATTTGTTTGCGGAAGGAATTTTAATTGTTTTTTGCTCACGAAAAAAAAGAAAGATAAAGAGAGAGAGAGAGAGAGAGAGAGAGAGAGAGAGAGAGAGAGAGAGAGTCTTGATATATATATATATAGTTATAGATAATACAATAATGTTTTATAAAAAATTGTTCATTTGAATAATATCAAACTAGTATCTTCCTACTTAGAGTTTATCTAGTTTGTAATACCAGAAGATTAGCGAAAGGAATACATTATCCTGACCCTCTTATTATACAGACGGGGATAAGCAAAGTTTGCTATAGATAAAAATATCCGGTAGTTGCTGAATTTTTGCAAGAATTTAAAATTTTAACACTCGTCGAGGTTCGTTAAAACTCGATTTAACATTATACCTGATTATAATGTTAAATGATATCTTTTTTTTTCCTTTAGTCCATTTTCTTATGGTTTTACTTTTTTAGTATCGTTTTCTTGCTTATTATATCCTCTTTCATTACTATCACTCTCTCTTTCTCTCTTTCGTATCTCCGTTTCTTCAGCACTAGCGTTAAAAGTTATGTAGGTTACACGTCGTTACGTGAAATAACTTTCTAGATGGTACTAGACTAGTCTATGGCGAGTGGAAAACTATCTCTACCTCCATAACTTTACCATTCCATACTTCGACGAGTCATACTAAAGCGGGAATATAGCGGTTTAACCGCGCAACTTCAACATGTGCTTGGAGAAAACGGAAACTCATTTCTACCAAATGTCAGAGTTTACCATTTCAACTTATTATGTATAGTTAACTGTATCCATACTTCCCTATATACGATATTGTAATTTACTAAACGTGTTATATTAATTACGCAAAACTAGAAACGACGAAGAAGAAGAAGAAAACAAGAAAAAATACAAATACGAATAGTAGATACGAATAATTTAATAAATTTCTCCCGTAGGATTAATTAAACTTTCGCGATTGAAATGTCGTTAATTAAAATCTTGTTTTAAACTCGTTTAGTTCCTTCTCACGGAGAATACATATTATTAAAGTTTCCTTTTTACATTTCGCAAATTTATTTTCCTAGTGAGTTTGGAATATGTGTGTCTAGGGAAAACAAAAATGATTCCCATAACAAATACGTGTATTTTTATTATACTTCATCGTGATTTAACGATTGCAAATAAATTAATTATATATTATAAATTACATAGTATAAAAAGAAAATAATAATAGAATTAACGAACTGATTTGACATTGTTTCTATTACTTGCCTCTAGATGGTCAAGGGCCGGCACCGGTTTCCTGGCTAACAGGTGTAACGTAAGCGCGGGAAACGTCCAAGATCAACTCTGGTTGACAGTTTTGATCGTAATTATTGTCGACATAAAATTTCGTTTCTATACTCTCTCTCTCTCTCTCTCTCTCTCTCTCTCTCTCTCTCTCTCTCTCTCTCTGTCTGTATGCGTGTGTCTCTTCTATCTCGTTGTTACCTTCCTTCAGTTTATTCGTCTCAATACGACGAAAGAAAAATTTTGTTGAATATCCAATAATATTTTATGACGTGGAGAGACGTAAGAAAAAGTAGTTTGACCCCACACAAAGATATATAATATAATTTTCGTGTAATATTCGTTTAGGAGGGGAATCAAAAAAAAAAGGAAAGAATAATAATTATTGTCAAGTTAATATATTATCCTCACTCTCTCGTCCTCGCGAACTCAATGGAACGAACACAGCAATGCGGTCGAGCTAGCTCTGTCCGGTACTCCGATACCGTACCTTACCACCTCCGATACCACCCGCTGCCGGGTGCTGTCTTCGATGCTTTCCTACGGCGTCTGCGCTCTCGTAACCTTCCATCACAACCTTCCACCAACAACCTTCCACCAACAACCTTCCACCTGTCCACCTACATCTATACCTCGCTAGATCCCTCACTCTAACATCTTTCTGACTAGGAGCCACGTTATAATACTTTTCCAACCTTTTTCTCATATACGTATATACACACACGCTAGGATTCGCTAGAAAATCACCTGCCAAATCATCTCCTATCTTCAATTCGATGCGTCTTCTTATATCTGGGCTGTTACTTTGCCAATCAATTTCTTTTAAATCATTCCTCTTATATTATCCCATACCTTTATATTTTTTTTTTTTCTTTTTACGTTTCAGACCGAATTTTTATAATTCCTAGGGTATTTCGATTGAGTTTCTAGTTTAGCGAAAAATATTAATACCTGTTGTCTATCATTCTTTTTAATCGATGGGATTTACACGACAAGTGTGTAGTAATAAATGTTGAAATTACATACGAGATAGTTTCAACTTCGACTGAAATTTCTATCTAAACGGAGAGAGAGAGAGAGAGAGAGAGAGAGAATATACGAGTAATCTTTCCTGCACCACATATATACACTAATATACTTGTGTTTCGGTTTTCTAGGATACACCTGCCAAATCACTATCTCAGGTCGACGTATTGTGTCTACATATATATATCCTTTAGCTCATATTTCTAAATTCTTGTTTTACGTTTCAGAATTTTATATTCTTTGACGTTTTTCTTTTTTCTTTTTTTTTCTATTTTTCTTCTTACTTAAGTATGAAGTATCAAACCCCGTTATGATTCTTTTTAATCAGAGGTTCAACGCGATAAACGTAGAGAAATCATAAATTAAATGTATTATTCTTCGCGAATGAAGCAGCAGCAGCAGCAAGGTTTGAGAAGATTATGCGAAATATCGCTGATGTAAGAAACAATGTATCGCATAAGAATATTACCGTCGTGAGAGTGTATATACGTACGGTATGTATATCACGTTTATGATAAACGTTAACGCGATTATGCCGGTATTATGTCGTATGTAAAAATTCAGATAAAATAGAAAGAGACATTATTTGCATTTATTTCAAACGAATATAGGTATTCCATGATATTGTACAAAAGTCTCTTTCCCAATAGTAATAAGAATACGGTATTAAAAGATTTTTCAATCTCTCGAAAGAAGAAAAACAAGAAGAGGAAGAAGAAGAAGAAGAAGAAGAAGAAGAAGAAGAAGAAGAAGAAGACGTAGTAATAAAACGTGACGACGACGACGACGACGACGACGACGACGAGAGAGTAGATTAAGAAAATAGAAATTTACGCTTTCATTCGATTTTATATATATATATATATATATATATATAGTTAGATCCTCAAAGATCTTTTTCTTTTTTCTTTTTTTTTTCTTTTGACTTTTCTTCTTTATCCGCTAAAGCGCGAACGAGGTGAGATTATTCGCTTTAATCCGAATCGATGTTTAAGCATTTACAGTTGCATGGTTATAAATATATTCTATCGGAATAAATCTCATACGAAATATAAAAAGAGAAGAAAAGAGATTAAGAAAAAGAAATAAAAGGAAAAAAAAAAGAAAAAAAAAAAGAAAAAAGATAATTACGTGCGTGCTCATAAAACACAGGTAACGTCTACTACTACTACTGGCTCGAAATGAAAACTAAATAATTCAGTTTCCAATGGATTTTGATTCGATACTTACAATACCTTTTTACTCCATTGCATTTTATAAAAATAACTCTCTTTCTATTTTTTCTCTCGCTTTTTTCTCTTCGTATTTAAATGTTTAACAAAAAATAATAAGGAAAAGGTTGTTGGAAAGGGAAAAAATATTACAATTTATCCAATTTATATTATTTTATGTTCTGTATTAACAGTAATAATACAACGTTAATACAAAGATCCCTGATATCGCAAGGCATGCTTTGTGCAAAAGTAATAATAATAATACTTCATTCTTACACGAGTCTACAATTATAACATATATATCTAAAAATGAATTATGTCTATACNAAAAGTAATAATAATAATACTTCATTCTTACACGAGTCTACAATTATAACATATATATCTAAAAATGAATTATGTCTATACATCTATACGTATCTCTCTCTCTCTCTCTCTCTCTCTCTCTCTCTCTCTCTCTCTTTCTCTCTTTCTCTCTATTTATCTATCTATCTATCTATCTATCTATCTATCTATTTCTCTACATTTCTTTCTCACAATAAATCTATAAACACAATTAATACAAATATCATCTATTTCAATATCACTTTTTTTTTCTTACATCTTAAAATATTTGGCATATTGTTATTTTTTATTTTTATTTATTTTTTTTAATTCTTTTTTATTCGTCTTTTTTGTTTTAATTATTTTTTATTTCTTTATAAGAATTTTTTAATAACAAGTGGAAATTATTTATACTGTTAGATTTATATTTATATACATAATATATTCCAGGTAACTTATGATTTTTATATTTCTTTTTATTCTTTTTATCTTTCTTTCTTTTCGATTAATTTGGTAACAATAAATATGCACATAGTGCATACTATTTATGGAAAATTTGTGCCCTAAATAAATGATTTTTGTTTTATTTATTTGTTTGTTTGTTTGTTTAAGGCAAGAAATTAGCTCCATTTATTATATTTCTCTTTTCATTGACATCCCTATTGAGATCTCTATAGGACGATACACATCGTGTTTTACACAAAGTTTGTTTTAAAACATATTCTTTAAGTATGTATGAATGCATATTTATGTATTTACACATAGATATACTTATTTAATATATACGTACAGAGGATACGCGTTAATAATTATCCTGTACAAGATTAATTATGATTCGTTGATATCAAGTTATATTAGGAATTCTATTTAAATTCAATACGCACATCTTTGTCCTCCTAAAAATGTACTTGGTTTTTGTTTTTTTTTTTTCTCTCCAAAATAACTATATACGTTTAAGTATTACAGAAATTCATTCATCAAGGAAACGAGATTACGGAGTGTGAAGGAAAAAAATGAATGTCGATTCGGGGATACAGAATTAATGATCGTTGCAAATGTTATAGACCGTTAGAAATTAATTGATTTATTTCCTTGTCGATAATTCCTATTTCTTTGAGAATAATCGATACCATTCAATCACGATTTTGTATCTTTTCTTCTTGATAGTATTTCCATTTTTCTTTGCAAACATAATAACATAAGTAAGTGTTATCTATTTAAAGCTTCAGTATTTTGGCTATGAGTATTTTTATTTAAATTATCGCCTTGACCACTTGGACTAGATAATCTAACTGGTTTGATAGATTTTAATTTGGTCGTTCCACCGTATCGAAAATTAACATCGCTACAAGTATCCAGAGGGTGCATGGTCCCTGTCAAATTCGTCAGGGAATCTTCATTGGTAACTTCGATTTTACTCGTTGGGACTTTTTTAACGGAACCCAATTCGTAAGCCGACTTGGAGGGTTTAAATTTTAATTTTGCATTAGATAATGGTAACGAGACTGATTTTTCTAAATTTGCCGTTTGAATCTTTAAATGATTATCGTTCTGTTCTATGCTATCGTTTTGAGACGTCATTGCATCCGTTATTTGTATATCTATATTGACCGTTTTTGGATCATTTTCGTCATTATTGATTCTTACATTCGGATCGGTATACTCGTTCCTAAGCGCGGCCAATTGTGCGCGTTGCTTTTGTATATGATTGTGCGAATTAGAAAAAAATGAAGATACTTTTTCCAATCTGGTTGCCAAATTCGGTTGGCTCAATGTTGATTTTAAAGGATACGGAGGATCGACCATGTTACTGTTCTTTAAGAAATTATGTGATTCCCTACCGGTCGAATTACTTTTAATCAGACCTTGTTTCGTATGATCTTCTAATATTTTCAACGGATACGATTTGTTCGTGTTCCTTCGCTTTTCGGCTAAGCTCAATTGCGAAATTATTCTACGTACATCACCTGGAAAATCTATGTCGTCGCGCGTTTCAGCCAGGTGTTGAATGAATGCACCCAAAGTCGTAACCGTTACTTCGAGACCGCGATTATGAGATTCTAATTTATTCACAACCGATTGTTGCATCGATCGGGCTGTTTCCAAACGTTGCAAGTTATTCATTGCTATCTGTAAAACAAACATTTGCATAGAATGAACACTTGTCGTCCCGAAAACAAAGAAAAATATTCAAAATAATACGACGAATTATTGCATCCTAATGATTTTCTAACCTCCAATTGTTCGTTTAATTGATCGACTTGTTTCATCAATTGTTTGTTCAGAGCCTTGAATTTTTCCAAACTTTCGATTTGCGGTTTCATCGATACCATTTCTTCTTGTAACACTTGATACTCCACTCTGTATTCATTCAATTGTTTAGAAACTTCCATATCCGGATAGAAAACACGTTTCATTACGCGATCCAAGGTGGCTTTGTCGACAGCTGGCACGCGAGTCTAAAAAGATTCATAGAAAAAAAAAAAACAAATTCTTATTCGATGACCACATTTTCGTAAAATAACATATAAAAATTAGCGTTGATCGTAGAACTACAAAAGACATGTATAATATATACACTTACTTTAAGATATTCCATTATTTCTTCGAAACTGTCGCAACACAGCAACTGATCTTGATGTTCTTCCAATAATGCCACGGCTACTCGGAATAATATTTCGGAACTTTCGAGAAAAAGTAAATCTATGACAGAAAGAAGGATGATCGTCGAATACAAAAAATATGTTCCATCGAACTTTATAGGACGTATAATACGTAAATTAAAGTAAGGAATAATAGAGGATCGTAAATTTAGAGGAGGTACGAAAACTTACCAAAGACTCTAGTTACAAAACCTAATGGAAACTGACTGGCAAACAAGGTCAACAACCACGGTGCTGCATACAAAGTAGGTGACACTTCGTGCTTGTCAAAATGATCA